CAAGAAAACGCCCACTGACTTTGTAGAGAGATTCCTTCCGCGGGGGATGGACATCCTGGCAACCGTCAACCACCGCTCGATCATCAAGACCTACGAGATCTTCGAGACATCTGACGGGCGGCTCTACATCGTCATGGAGCTTGGGGCCCAGGGTGACCTCCTCGAGTTCATCAAAACCCGGGGAGCCCTGCACAAGGATGTGGCGCGCAAGATGTTCCGCCAGTTCTCCTCGGCCGTAAAGTGCTGCCACGACATGGATGTCGTCCACCGCGACCTGAAGTGCGAGAGTGTTCTCCTCGACAAGGACTTCAACATCAAGCTGTCCGATTTCGGCTTCTCCAAACGCTGCCTGCGGGACGACAGCGGCCGCATCATCCTGAGCAAGACCTTCTGCGGGTCGCCGGCGTACGTGGCCCCCGAGGTGCTGCAGGGCATCCCCTACTAGCCCAAGGCGTACGACATCTGGAGCCTGGGCGTGATCCTCTACCTAATGGTCTGTGGCTCCATGCCCTACGGTGACTCCAACATCAAGAAGATGCTGCACATCCAGAAGGAGCGCCGCGTCCACTTCCCGCGCTCCAAGAACCTGACGGGCCTGCAAGGACCTCATCGAATGCATGCTCCAGCCCGATGTCGACCTGCGGCTGCACATTGACGAGGTCCTCAGCTACTCGTGGCTGCAGCCCCCCCCGAGCCCAAGGCCATGTCTTCTGCCTCCTTCAAGAGGCAGGAGGAGGGCAAGTACCGGGCCGAGTACAAGCTGGACACCCGGCCGGGCTCGAGGCCCGACCACCGGCCTGAGCACAAGCTGGGGGCCGAAACCCAGCACCGACTGCTGGTGGTGCCGGAGAACGAGGACAGGATGGGGGACCGGCTGGCCGAGACCTCCAGGGCCAAAGACCATCACGTCTCCGGAGCTGAGGTGGGAAAGCGAGCCCCCAGCAGTAATGAGGGCCAGGGGCAGCGGCGCGAGGTTTGCACCCCTGTAAACTCTAAGTAGGCAAGGAACAAGTAAGATTCGTCAATTAAACCACTATTGTGACTATTGTGATTACGTTCTGTTAGCTTTCTTCCACTTAGTAGCAAAGACATTACTTACTGACCCCCAAATAAACCGCAAAGTGTACACAAGCATCGAGAGTGCCCGGCGAGGAGTCTTTTTCTCTGGGACTCAGCCCACTGCCCTCCCTGCCGCGCGGGGGTCTCCAGCGTAGGGGTCCAGGGAGCAGCGCTCAGGCACAGGCAGACTCATGGCGAGGCCTCGTAGGCGGA